AGGGGTCGCGACCCACAGGTTGAGAACCCCTGATTTAGAATGACATTCTATGTATTAGTTATTGCCAGTATCAACCAAGCATGAGAGGGTAAAGTTGATAATGGTGTTTGATTAAATGCACAAATGCCTAAAACAAAAAAATTTAAAAGATTGACCAAATTTATTCCTTTGCTGAGCATTCATTGAGCAGGAGCCCAAGCACGTAGTAGTCTCTAGAACAGCAGTTCTCAACCTGTGGGTCGTGACCCCTTTGGGGGTCAAACGACCCTTTCACAGCGGTCGCCTAAGACCATCGGAAAACCCATATATAATTACATATTGTTTTTGTGATTAATCACTATGCTTTAATTATGTTCAATTTGTAACAATGAAATTGGGGGTCACCACAACATGAGGAACTGTATTAAAGGGTCGCGGCATTAGGAAGGTTGAGAACCACTGATTTAGAGTGTCTCGAGCTCAGGACTGGATAGGGGCTAGCATCCCCTTGTCTTCATTCCCATCCTGGCCCCCAGGCTTGACCTGAGAGGCAGAGTTCCAGGTCCCAGGGGATGTGGCATGCTGGCTGGCACTGCTGGCCCCCAGCCTTGAGTCCCCTCATGTGACTGGAAGCTCTCCACTCAACTTCCCAGTGTCGTTTCTTTCCTGTGCACCAGCCGTGCCTGTGGGAGTGTTCTGTTCTGAATGGGCTTCTGTCTCTCCCTGCACGTGAATCAGACGGGTTTCATGTTGTGTTGGCCCCATGAGCTTGGTTGGCTGGTTGGCTGCCCGGAGGTGCCGGTAGAGATGTGGTGCAGCCTTGAGCCCTGGACCAGGCCCTTGGTGGGGGCACCCGGTGCACAGTGAGGTGGGAACCCTGTGAGAGAGAGGCCGTCCTGGAGAGCCCCAGCCCCACATTGCTTTCCACTAGTTCCAGGTCCCAGGGGATGTGGCATGCTGGCTGGCAGTGCTGGCCCCCAGCCTTGAGTCCCCTCGTGTGACTGGAAGCTCTCCACTCAACTTCCCAGTGTAGTTTCTTTCCTGTGCACCAGCCATGCCTGTGGGAGTGTTCTGTTCTGAATGGGCTTCTGTCTCTCCCTGCACGTGAATCAGACGGGTTTCATGTTGTGTTGGCCCCATGAGCTTGGTTGGCTGGTTGGCTGCCCGGAGGTGCCGGTAGAGATGTGGTGCAGCCTTGAGCCCTGGACCAGGCCCTTGGTGGGGGCACCCGGTGCACAGTGCCTCCTGGAGGCCGCCCTGGAGAGCCCCGGCCCCACATTGCTTTCCACGCGGCTTCAGCACCCTTCATGGTTCACACCCTCTGTGTTTCCACAAGGAGCCGAGGGCTGATAGCTCGTGTGCCAGGACAGAAACAAGTGTGTAGAGACCCAGGCCGAGGGCAGGAGGGAGGGAAAGCGGGTGCAGAGCGGAGCTAGCCAGGGTCTGAGAAGCTCTGCAGCTGCTGAGGCCCGTTAGGGGGGCAGGATGCTGGCCTGGGATCCCCACAGGCGGGAGCGGCACCCACAGGCCCGCTCGCTTGTTGGTTCCAGGAGAACTGTGCCATCCTCAGGGAGCTGGTGACCCTGCGGGCCCAGAAGTCCAGCCTGCTGGGCTTCGGTACGCACGCCGACTACGTCCTGGAGATGAACATGGCCAAGACCAGCCAGACGGTGGCCACTTTCCTAGGTAACCGGCCTTCCTCCGCCTCCCGTGTGCTGTTCTTGACTGTGACGAAATGGTGCTTCTGAGAGCCCCATCCTGTCCACCCTCAGGTGGGCGTCCCTATGACGCCTCTGACCCCTGTGTTTGACCTGAGGGATCCTAATCTCACGGCTGAGCGTTGGGGCTCTGAGGTGAGGCCTGCAACTGGCCCTGCTCTCCCCTTCGGGGTGTGAGGCCTGGATAAGCAGCTCACACGTGGCTGTTGTTTCCTCCTTGTGAAAGCGAGACCTGTGATCTCTCCCGGGGCTGCGGTGGGTGACACGGTGCTGGCCTCCGTCAAGCTTTTGTCTCAGGCCCGTCCTTCCCATGCGGGGCACCAGGGCCCTGACAGCTGGAGAAAGCCACGGCCAGCAAGTGGGGGTGAGAATGGGCAGCTCTGGTGTGCCCGCTGCAGGGAGGTAGCCTTGCCTTTCCCCTCTGTACCCCCAGACGAGCTGGCACAGAAGCTGAAGCCCCTTGGGGAGCAGGAGCGGGCGGTGATCCTGGAGCTGAAGAAGGCCGAGTGTGAGAAGCGGGGCCTGGACTTCGATGGGCGGATCAATGCCTGGGACATGCGCTACTACATGAACCAGGTGGAGGAGACGTGCTACAGCGTGGACCAGAACCTGCTCAAGGAGTACTTCCCCATGCAGGTGGTCACCAGGGGGCTGCTGGGCATCTACCAGGAGTTGCTGGGGCTGACCTTTGACCTGGAGGAGCACGCCGCTGTGTGGCACGAAGACGTGAAGCTGTACTCAGTGAGGGACACGGCCTCAGGAACGGTCATCGGGAAATTCTACCTGGACCTCTACCCCCGGTGCGTGTGAGCTGGGGCGGAAGGGTGGGGGGCCAGGAGCGTTCATACCTTTGGGGATGTGTGCACTCCCTCCTCTGCTGAGAGCCCTCAGGGTGTCTGTCAGCCTCAGCCGGCAGGTGGGATGATGGAGGGATGCAGGGTCAGGGAGTGGCAGAATTGGGGACCAGCCTGGGGTCACTACCCCTCTGGGCCAGTTAGCAAGCAGAGCAGACCCCCAACCAGGCCTGACCCTGCCCCCTCCCTCCCCCCACAATCTCCAGGGAAGGCAAGTATGGGCACGCAGCCTGCTTTGGCCTGCAGCCAGGCTGTCTGCGACAGGACGGGAGCCGCCAGATCGCCATCGCGGCCATGGTGGCCAACTTCACCAAGCCCACCCCAGATGCCCCCTCCCTGCTGCAGCATGATGAGGTGGAGACCTACTTCCATGAGTTTGGGCATGTGATGCACCAGCTCTGCTCTCAGGTGGGTGTGGGGCCAGGGGCTGGCAGGGAAGAAGGCAGGGGCGCCCCCCCTGCGCCTGGTGGTTAGTGGGTCTGGAGGTAGTTTTCTCTGTGTTGGATTCTTCATGTGGCATTGCCATGGATAGGGTAATACCCTGTTGAATTCATTTCCATCACAAAGCCCCACGGGGGTGGCTTAAACAACAGAAATGTCTGATGTCCTGGTGCTGGAGGCTAGAAGTCCGAGGTCAATGTGTGGGCAGGGTTGGTGAGCTCTCTCCTGGGTGTGTAGATGCCAGCTTTTCCACATGTCCTCACATGATTGTCCCTCTGTGTATGTCTGTGTCCTGATCTTTTCTTATAAGACAGTGGTCATATTGGATTAGGGCCTATCCTAGTGACCTCATTTAATCACCTCTTAAAGATCCCATCTCCACGCATAGTCATATTCTGAGGTCTTGAAGGTCAGGATTCCAATATATGAATTTTGGAGAGACACAGCCCATAATAGCTCTCAGAGAACTGTTAGGTTAGTGAAGATAATATACATATGTAACATGGCTTAGAGTAGTGTTCATGCCAGCCTCATCTCCTGCTAGCTCACATTAAGAAACATGCATGATCCTGTGAAAGCCAGTGATGACAGCCAGAGCACATGTTGCAGGACCCAGACACAGAGCCGGCTCTGCATTCCGTGAGCACTCACTGAGCCCAGTGAGAGGCGGCTCTGGGTTCAGTGCACACTCACTGAGCCCAGTGAGAGGCGGCTCTGGATTCCGTGCACACTCACTGAGCCCAGTGAGAGGCGGCTCTGGGTTCAGTGCACACTCACTGAGCCCAGTGAGAGGCGGCTCTGGGTTCAGTGCACACTCACTGAGCCCAGTGAGAGGCGGCTCTGGGTTCAGTGCACACTCACTGAGCCCAGTGAGAGGCGGCTCTGGGTTCAGTGCACACTCACTGAGCCCAGTGAGAGGCGGCTCTGGGTTCAGTGCACACTCACTGAGCCCAGTGAGAGGCGGCTCTGGGTTCAGTGCACACTCACTGAGCCCAGTGAGAGGCGGCTCTGGGTTCAGTGCACACTCACTGAGCCCAGTGAGAGGCGGCTCTGGGTTCAGTGCACACTCACTGAGCCCAGTGAGAGGCGGCTCTGGGTTCAGTGCACACTCACTGAGCCCAGTGAGAGGCGGCTCTGGGTTCAGTGCACACTCACTGAGCCCAGTGAGAGGCGGCTCTGGGTTCAGTGCACACTCACTGAGCCCAGTGAGAGGCGGCTCTGGGTTCAGTGCACACTCACTGAGCCCAGTGAGAGGCGGCTCTGGGTTCAGTGCACACTCACTGAGCCCAGTGAGAGGCGGCTCTGGGTTCAGTGCACACTCACTGAGCCCAGTGAGAGGCGGCTCTGGGTTCAGTGCACACTCACTGAGCCCAGTGAGAGGCGGCTCTGGGTTCAGTGCACACTCACTGAGCCCAGTGAGAGGCGGCTCTGGGTTCAGTGCACACTCACTGAGCCCAGTGAGAGGCGGCTCTGGGTTCAGTGCACACTCACTGAGCCCAGTGAGAGGCGGCTCTGGGTTCAGTGCACACTCACTGAGCCCAGTGAGAGGCGGCTCTGGGTTCAGTGCACACTCACTGAGCCCAGTGAGAGGCGGCTCTGGGTTCAGTGCACACTCACTGAGCCCAGTGAGAGGCGGCTCTGGGTTCAGTGCACACTCACTGAGCCCAGTGAGAGGCGGCTCTGGGTTCAGTGCACACTCACTGAGCCCAGTGAGAGGTGGCTCTGGGTTCAGTGCACACTCACTGAGCCCAGTGAGAGGTGGCTCTGGGTTCAGTGCACACTCACTGAGCCCAGTGAGGAGGGCGAGGGGCAGACATGGAGCCTTAGGAAGTTGAAGGACCTTCCCCATAGAGGCCCTCAGTGGCAGAGACAGGACTCACCTGGGTGTTCTGGGCCCCCAGCCTAGTGTCCGGGCCACGGGACCCAGCTGTGCGCATGGCCCCTCTCTCACAGTCAGCCCTTCCTCCTGATAACAAAAATGTGCTTAGGGGCTAAACGGGAGTGGGTGGGAACTGGGTGCTCAGTGATTTTTAGTCCGTTCACCAAGCTGTTCAGCCTTCGTCACTGTCCAGTTCTGTAATATTCCATCGCCCCCAAAAGATCCTCCTTGCGCATTAGCTGTCACTCCCCACTCTGTCCACCCCCTCCCCAGCCCCTGGCAGCCACTAATCCATTCTCTCTCTCTGGATGTGCCTGTCCTGGACATAGCACACTGATGGACTCACACACTGTGTGGCCTTTTGTGTCTGGCCTCTCTCACTGAGCATCATGTGTGCAGGTCCATCCACGTTGTAGTGAGTGTCGGTGCCTCACTGCTTTTCATGGCCAAGTCATGTTCCAGAGTGTGGATGGGCCACTATGAATGTGACCACGTGTCCCCGTCTCCCGGGTCCCCTGCCTCACCGAGGGCCAGGATAGGGCTCCTTAACCAGTTAGCTGCCACAAGCGTCTATAGACGCAAGCGGCGGGCCTTCTTTAATTACATTCAAAGTACCGTGGCACTTAACTGGTTAAATCTCTCAGCAGCTTGTTTGGCTGATTAGCTGCCAGACCCAGGTTTTGGCTGCACTGGATCAAGTGCTATTTTTCAGGAAAAATCTCAGACACCCAAAAGTGGACAAGAATACAGTGTACCTTCCAGCATCTGTCATCAGATTCCACTGTTTCCAGGCTTTGGCCTTTGGGGGACAGGCTTTTTGAGAGTGTTGGCTTCGTGGGTGGGAGAGGGAAGCTGGGTGGCCAGCAGGGAACATGGGTGCTCTCTGCCTCCCAGTGTGTCCCTGGCTGAGACAGGTCAGCCAGCAGCTGCCCAGGGAAATGCAATAGTCCCCATCCTCGGCCACGCCTCATGTTGTGGGGGAGGAAAGGCCCCGCCTAGGATGTTATCTACCCGCCCAGGTGTGCCATGACCTGTGTGCCCGGATAAGGCCAGGTGGACGGGAGCTGGCCAAGCAGGGTATGGCATGCCTGGGCTCTCTGCCTCGTCCCCACAGGCGGAGTTTGCCATGTTCAGCGGGACGCATGTAGAGCGTGACTTTGTGGAGGCGCCTTCTCAGATGCTGGAGAACTGGGTCTGGGAGAAGGAGCCGCTGCTCCGGATGTCGCAGCATTACAGGACGGGCAGCGCCATCCCCCAGGAGCTGCTCGAGAAGCTCATCAAGTCCCGGCAGGCCAACACAGGTGTGTCCTAACGCGCCCCGCCTCGGTGAGGCCCCGGCCAGCCCGGGGCCACCCGTAGTCCCCATCCCTCAGGCCCTGAGGCCAGGGAAATAGGGGAGTTCTTGGTGCCCGTGCTGCAGCCTGCGAGGCCCGGGTATGCCCGCGGGGATTTCTGGGCCGCCCCGACTGGAGGGCTGGGCAGAGCACAGGGCCAGCCTCCCATCTCCTTCCTCCTGACTAGGTCTCTTCAACCTGCGCCAGATCGTCCTGGCCAAGGTGGACCAGGCCCTGCACACACAGAAGGCCGCCGAGCCAGCCGAGGAGTATTCCCGCCTCTGCCAGGAGATCCTTGGGGTCCCAGCCACGCCAGGTAGCTGCCCGTGGGCCTGGCCCACCTTGGAGGTTAAGGGGTCTCTGTCCTCTGGGTCAGAAAAGACCTCGCGCCGCATGAAGGGAGTTGGGACAGTTTATAGGTTCAGCTGATCCAAGTGAAGCAGGCGGCCCCTGGCCTCCCTCCTGCTTTGCGTTCCCAGCCCTTGGCTCCAGTGCGGAGCCTGATGGGCAGTGGGTGTGGGTGACTCCGTCCTTCCTCACAGGTTACGTGTCCCTTCCATGTCCACTGGGCCTTCCTGCGCCTCCTCGGGCGACCTCCCACACAAGGCTTTGTGAAAAGCCGGAGGCGCAGGAAATACGAGTGATCTCATACTCTGGGGATGACAGTAGACAATGTTATTTTTGTTTTTAAAAAATATATTTTATTGATTTTTTACAGAGAGGAAGGGAGAGGGATAGAGAGTTAGAAACATCGATGAGAGAGAAACATCGATCAGCTGCCTCCTGCACACTCCCTACTGGGGATGTGCCCGCAACCAAGGTTCATGCCCTTGACCAGAATCGAACCTGGGACCCTTTAGTCCGCAGGCTGACACTCTATCCACTGAGCCAAACCAGTTAGGGCAGTAGACAAGGTTTTGATGTGTATCCTCCGTGTGCCTGTGTGTCCTTGTACATATGTACATATGAGCACACTCAATAAACATACATGAAGGTAATTGAGATTTAATGTAAATAGTGTTGCATTGGTTTACTGTTTCTTGAGCATTTAAAAACCCTTCAAAAGTGTCTTAATCGACACATGTTCTCTGTTGTGTGGGCGAGCCTTGCCTTACCCCAGGGTCTCCCAACATTGAACCCTGGGCGGTGGCAGCTTGCGTTGCTGAAATGCTGCAGGTGAGCCCTCTGCACATCGGCAGCTGCCAGGCACAGGTTGATTGAGTTCCTCTGGCCAAGTCCCCTGGCCCTGCTTTCTGGTTCCCCCTTCCAGGTGCGAGTGTCTCTGATGTGGCTGCTCTGAAACCCCCTCTTATTAGGGGGAGTCGGGGACCAGGCCAGGGCACAGCAATAGCCTCATGTGTCTTCCCAGGGACCAACATGCCTGCGACCTTCGGCCACCTGGCGGGCGGCTACGACGCACAGTACTACGGCTACCTGTGGAGCGAGGTGTACTCCATGGACATGTTCCACACACGCTTCAAGCAGGAGGGCGTCCTCAATGGCAAGGTGAGGGGAGGACGTCCAGTGCTGCTCCCCACTGCCCAGGACCAAGAACAGGTGTCCATGGCCTTGGGCCTGAGAGCCTGTGCTGCAGCCCTGGCAGGGCAGGGCACCGGGCAGAGTGGGGCCCTCCTTTGGCTCGTCAGGCCTCCACCTGAGACCCTGTAGGGCTCGGGGCTCAGCCACCCCTGTCCTGAAGGATAGGGTTCCTGCATGCATCTGCATGCACACTTGTGTGCACGTTCAGTCTTACACACACACTTGCACACTTGCTCTGAGATCCCCATCAAAGTGTCAGCCCACACTCCCTCGTGGTGTTGATGTGGGTGCCCATAGGCCCCCTGGGAGCCAGGGAAGGATGCTGGAGGACCCTCGACTAGCCCCACCCCTCTTCCCCCCTGCAGGTCGGCTTGGACTACAGAAGCTGCATCCTGAGACCAGGTGGCTCCGAGGACGCCAGCGTCATGCTGAAGCTCTTCCTGGGTCGTGACCCCAAGCAGGACGCCTTTCTCCTGAGCAAAGGCCTGCAGGTGGAGGGCAGCAAGCTGCTGGCCTGCTGATGCGCCCGGGGGTCCCGCCAGCCCTGGATGGGGGCTCTAGCTCCCGCTGCCCTGGTGCCTTAGCTCCCAGCCTGGAAACAGGGTGGGAGACGGTGGCCTCCAGCTCAGCGTCCCGGGGAGGGTGGGGCAGGGTGAGAGAGGGGCCGTTCTCTCTGGTCATTTCTCATAGCCAGTGTCCATGACCCCACTCAGTGGCCAGCCTGGGCTGAAGAGAGCTCGTCCTCAAGATGTCCGGGGAGCGCTTGTGTCCGGGCAAGCCTTCCTCTTTGTTGCACTAATATAGCCCCTTCCTGGTCATTTGTCCTAGGAAAGGGATGGGTTCTTTGAAATTCATCCATTAAAAAAAAAAAGGAAAAAAGAGACTGCTGCTCTGTTCTCTGACGCCTGTCCTTTCTGCGCGGAATAGTGGAACATCGGTTTCCACCTTGTGATCGATGTGGCTCCCTGGGAAGAGCTCCCATTAAGCCCTGACCTGGCGATCAGCCCTGGGGGACAGGGCAGTTGCCGGCGGCTCCGTCTGTGCTGGAGCATTCTGGATTGTGACCGTGTGGGTCCCTGGGAGGCCGCTGAGCTGTTGGACTGACTGCAGCAGGCGGGTGGGGCGTGTGGAGCTGGGGTGCCAGGGTCGCTCACCAAGAGGTGTGTTTCCTGCCAGCCTCTCAGCTAGCACGGTTCTGGGAAAATCCTCGTCCCCGGGCAGCGCTGGGTAGTGCAGCAGCCGCTGTCTGCCCTTGGCCCGTGGTAAGTCCCGGTGGCCAGGCTGGGTTTGCAGTTTGACAGGAGCTGGTTTCTGTTGGGACACAGCTGCTGGAAGCCCTTTCTTGTCCACATGACCTTGAGGACTGAAAGGCAGGTGTGCCCTGTCCTACTTGCCACTCAGGCTGGCTGTTAGGATATGGCAAAGCCTGGGCCACGAGGAAGGATGGCCTTCCTGGGCTCTCGGGTAATTCTTCAGAAAGGCCCTAGTGGTCATTTTGGTTGCAGCAGGAATGTGGAAAGGGTCCTTCATCATTGAGCAGGATGGGTGGCTGTCCCCTCTTCATTTGGTCTGAAAAGTCCATTTCTTCCCTGGACCAAGGGGTCCTGCCTTTTGCCATTGAATCGCTCACTCCAGTTTTTGCGCCACCTCCCCTGTCTGCCCCTGTCCGCCCCCTGCAAAGAGGACCAGTCAGTGGAGCGAGGGGTCAGGCAGCACCCTGACCCTTCTCCCCAAGGCCCAGGTGGCCTGTTCTTAGTGGGGACAGCTGCCTGCCCCTCACCCGACCGTCCTCACCAGCCCTGCTGTGGGCCTGGCTGTGGGGTCCCCCCTTATGTAGACCTAGCACAGAGCTCCCTGAACCCACATCTGTATCTTAAATTCTGGGGCAAGTGTTTTCTTGGCTGGGCTTGTCCAGAGCTGGTAGGCACCGTGTGGCCAAGAGGGCTGTGCCTGGAAGGTGGGGGTGACCTGGAAACATTTAAAAAGCCCTGGCCAGTGTGACTTGGTTGGAGCGTTGTCCCTGTAAAGGGTTGTGGGTGTGATTCCCGGCCAGGGCACATACCTAGGTTTCGGGTTTAATACCCCAGCCCCAGTTGGGGTGTGTGCAGGAGGCAACAGATCGATGTTGCTCTCTCAGGTCGACGTTTCTCTCTCTAAAATAACCAATGAACGTGTCCTCGGCTGAGGATTGAAAAATAAAAGGACCGAGCTTTTGTGTTTTGCGATGTTGGTAACCTTTTTATACATACTTGCTGGTTGGGGTTTGATGAAACCTGAGCACAAAGGGGCGGGGGCACCTGTGTAGCCCTGTGGATGGCCTCCAACCAACAGGGCAGCAATTTCCAACTGGTGCGCCACGAGAATTTTTAAAACATGCAACACCTGACTATTTAGTAGGGGCACTGACCTCTTTTCCCTTAGATTGTCAAGTTAAAAAATGCAGCAGCCAACACAATAGCATCCGGTGTGAATGAAACAAAATTACATCTATTTTTTGTCAGATCAGCAAAATAATATTGGCGTGCCGCGAATTGTCGTAGTTAGTGTATGTGTGCCATGAGATGAAAAAAGTTGAAAATCGCTGCTCCAGGGGATCAGGTATTAAGGCTGCTGGCCTCCCATCTCTGCCCCTGTCCATGCCAGTCCTGCCCGCACCCCGACCTTCATGTCCTCTCAGCTTTGATCCTTCGGCAGGTTCCCTCCAGCCCTGTCGCTCTCAGGACGCTGGTGCCCTCCAGTAGCTTCACTCCTTTCACCCCTGAAAGGGGCAGGTGGTGCCGTGGGACGTGGCAGGACTCACAACAGGTGTGCCAACACTTGGGGTCTGCGCACGCCGTTTCCTCTTCATCCTCCCTGCAGGTGTCACAGGTGGGTCAGCTCAGGGTCAGGGCCAGCATCCACTCCTTCCAAGTGTCCTCATCCAACAGTGCCTGCCAAAGCCAGCAGCCGGCAAGAGATGGCTATGTAGGGCCTTCCTGGTGAGGACGGCTCTGTCCCTGCACAAGCAAACTCATCTCGTGAAATGTGAGTTCAATCCGGATGTTGTCAGGTGGTGTGGGGGGTGGGTCCAGCCTGACCTGGGCAGCAGGGGGTCTGGGTTCAAGTCTCAGAGTGGACTGTTGGGTGAGTGTGGCCCTGGGTGGGCTTCCAGCACCGACTGGGCCCACATGGCTTCCCTGGGCACCGAGTTCGCCTTAACTGTGCAGGGTCACAGGCCAATGCCATACTC